TCTAGACCAAAATCATATTCCTACCATGTTGCCTCCTATGTGCAGCTCCCCCTATGAGAGAAAGAAACTTCGAGAAGAGGGCATTTGACAACATATGGCGCTGTCTTCAACGCTCCCGGAGCCGTATCCTCACACCTCCTCTCGTTCTCTTGCTAGACATCAGGCGTTCGGGAAAGTTGCAATAGAAAGTTGGGTCAGGTCCTGACCTCTGATGGGCAAGTCCTTGGCTCTACGTGACCATCCCACGTGATCATTCTTCCGTGCCGCGTGACAATGTATCCGGTGCATAGCTAGACCCACGACACAAAGTGCACAATACGATTCCGGACCGATATTGTAGGCTTTTTTGTGGACGGCATAAGTTATCGTTCGGTGTCAGATGGAGAAAAGATCCTCTGCATGGAGTACAGTGGAAGCCTGATGCGGATAAATTTTCACGCGGACATCCGACTCACTTTGTCGGGCTATTCCGGAACCATCGACACTGCTTGTGACTTAAAAGATGTGAGACGAATGAATCCGTGGGGGAGGAGATCTCCCATGACTCTTCATCTGGACGAGCAGAAGCGCTCCGAAATATTGTTTCATCGGACTTCGGCTGTCCTTGTCTCGCCCGCAGCTTGTCGCCTGTTACCCGCGAGCTGAGTTGCGCCGCATCGGAACAAGTGGTCTCTTGTCATTGGAAGAATCGAGTCACGAGAAAAATGTTTTCCTCATCCTACCTACCCTAACCTTCGCGTCCCCGGGAGGATGATCGCTGTCTTCGCACGTGGCATGTCAAATGAGCAGAAAGGGCTGTGTCGCCCGGATCGTCGAATTATTACGAGCCCGCGAACGAGTCAGAGGGATTAGATTCGGCTGAGACTGGAGTGGTTTGCATACAGCCAGGCTCTTCCGTCTATCTTCACGTTCGGCTATTTGAAAGGTTGGTGGCTCGCTGTAGCTGAAGTGACCCTCGTGTTGGCAGACGTCGAGCGGCGCCCGCCAAGTGTGATGCTATTGGATCTTCGGCACGCCTCTTCAATAGCAATACATACAGCCCCGGGAGATATGTCTTCGATTATTGGTGATATGAGCCAGCATAAGCTTTTTCTCATGGGAGCAGAAAGACTGGCGGGCGAGCCTTGTACCACGGGGGAAACTCGGGTCGGAATGGGACACTACACAGGGACGCGAGGCGAGCGACAGGATCAAACACTAGCGAGGGAGCCCCATCATCACCGGCTCTGTTGATATCAGTAAGTGGCCGAACAGTAGGTGGCAACAAGAAGACAGACACGCTGGACTCCTTTCGGGAATTGATCTAATTGTTATCGCTGCTCGCACCCTTCGTCGACGATTCTCATTGCTATCTTCAGCGTCGGAGTGTGGATTTCAAGGAGATCCGATACACACGCTCGACGAAGCCTCGGACAACCGAGAACGAAATATCGGATTGAAACGGCGGAAGAAATTTCATCTCTTTCATTTGGATCGAATTCTCGGACGATTTCGGAATCTATTTGGTACCAGGGGAGCCATTTGATTTCTGACCGAGCAGGAGTAGAAATGGGATCGGTACGATCGGAACAATGCATATACGGATGGATTCCAGAGGAAAACTATCAACAGCAGGGATCTCCTGGAAGGAAAATGAGAGAATGAGTTCAGCCTCTGTCGGGCTGCGCAGGGAGGGTAAAGGTATACGGCACGGGAATCGTTTCATGAGGATCGCTCTGATGATTTCAAGCCTACGCTTCGTGGGCTGGGCGTCGAGCGAGAGATCAAGATCCCCCACAATGGGGACGGAGAAGAGGGAAGATACGATCGAGATCCCCGACATGGGGAATTAAAAGCCTGGAACCGATCGAGACACGGCCACCGCTGCTGTTTCTACGGCCGCCCTGGGACGAGTTCCCCGAAAAGGTCCCTCCTCAGATAAGCAGTCTATACAATTTATTCCAGACCTGGTTTTCGAGCTTGTCGAAGGGTAGGCTCCCCTACCTTGTCTGTAAGAGAATAAAACGTTTAGCTGCTCTGTTTGGTCCGCAGACTAAACACCAAGAGACGCCTAAGGCTTACAATGTAGTTCGTGCGAAGGGTGGAATCCTTTCTCGAACGGGAATATGAAGAGCCTATACCTCTTGCGAAGCACGGATACTTCTTGGAGCGGGACCTAATGAGCTCTCGAAAAAGTCATCCGGAAGAGCTCAATAGATCTCACTCAGCCCTCATCTCCGAGTCTTTAGCCATCCCAATGGCTCGGATCGGATTCGAAATCGGAGGTTTCTGTCATCCGCTCATATTTCATTCGCGTTCCTCGACGAGACGTTCGCTCGTTCAGAATCCGATGATGGATCGATCCCCCATGCTGGAAACGTCCCCGGTAATGGCGACATGGGGGATTGCGCCCAAAATCCCCAGAGGAATACATGTATTCGAGAGAGCATGACCTTCGGGAGTCTCTTTTGGAGGACTCGATCTCTTTGCAGGTCGACCTCCGAGACGGAGGGAGGGAGATCTACAGAAAAAAATGTACATCGCAGACCGAGTGTACGGTGAATTGCCGAGGGTGCGGCTGTTGTATTGCTCCTCTGCGGGACAAAATATCTCGTTTAATCGATACGCTGGCCACATGGCCTATACGGCTTGTTCAGCTTGATTGATGAGATGTTTATCCCGTCGATTTGCGATTCCCATCGTCAGTAATCTGTCAGCTGAACGTTCGCTCCTCAGTGAGACCAGCTGAATCATCCGCTCCTACAGTCGAATCAATCTTGTTAGGAGCTCAGTTTCTACGGCAGATGAAAGCCGCCATATAGTACACCCTCTCGGAGTCTTGAGACCTCACGACGGGGAAAAACTGGTCAAACAGCGAATCTTCCCCGGAAGGGAGTTAATTCATTTGATTCGAAAGAATTCATTATGAAATTCCGCATCCAGGAAAATATCCGACGTCGCTCTGATGATGAGTCGTCATCGATGCGTAACAAGCTCCCTTTGTTACGAACCGAGAGGGAATAAGAGCCGGGCACTCAGCACACGGCTTTATTTTCATTATCGGACTCTCCCAACGCTATCAGCCCATCCGCTAAGATGCAGAAAAAAGCATTGTCATTTTTGTTAGCTCGTGTGCAGCTGCTCGCCATAGGTGGAAGCCAGCTGTCGCCGACAGCTGTGTCAGCCACCGTATTGAGCGTCCCGTAGAATCGGCGGGCGGGCTTGCCTGCTTAGTTGCTCGCTTGCCTGCATGCCTTCCGGCCCGTTGGCCCTCCCGCCTGCCTGCCCGCCTGCTCCTGTCGGCGTCAACGACATCCTACAGTGGCCAACGTTGGCGTCGGAGGCCGGTTTTTGGATGAGCTCCGCGCCGGGCCGTTCTCCTTCTTCGCTACGCAAACAGCTAAGCGAGGCAAGAAAGGAAGGGACTTGTTATATCCTAACGAGCGGGAGCGACAGGGAGAGAAAAAGTAAAGCTCTTTGTTAGTCCCGAGCAGCGACAGCATTTAGCGGTCATGCGGAAGAAGGAAGCGTTTAAAAACAAACGAGGATTCGACGAGAACCGCGAAGAGGTATCGTTTTCTCAAGAAGCGACGCCGATTGCTGTTTCTCCAATCCAGTCGTCCTGAGTGTCTCGAAGGAGCTCCTCTTCGAGAGACTCTAGTTTCGATCGGACAGAGCACGGCCGGGGATCACCAAGGGGCGGCTCCTATCCGAGTGGTGTTTCTTCATCTGTTTCTCATGTGAGGAAAGAAAACGGATAACAATCAACAAAATGGCGTACGCGTCGGAAATGATCGCCACATCCGAATCAATCACCCCGCGAGCCTGACGACCCGCCGAGCTTACGACCACCGAGCCGACCTACTTATTAACATGGGCGCTACTGCGGTCGATGCTGGTGTTGTTCGGGCACGGCGGGAGCTTGCACCCGAGTTCGTTTTTGTTTCAGTTTCACAACAGCGATCTCTGAGGAATGCATCAACTGCCCGGTTGTGCCTCAAGAGACCAAAGTGCTCGCGACGAGCGAACCATTCTCTGTGTAGCAAGCCTTGCGCTTCCTTGGAGAACTTTCCATGGCGAGCTGTGAAAGGGAATGCCGAGGAAGATGTCCGACCGCTCCTTCAGAATGGACTTCGACGGCTCGCGAGTCCGTCCGAGGAATCATTCGAGAACTTCTGCTGTTTCCGGGGTCCAGGCTCGAGATTTCCCCTCGGGGTCTCATGCAGTATAGCATTCTATCAATTTTCCTTCGTGTCTATCCGAAGACGTTGGACAGCAAGAGGGACGAGGATTCGGCATGTTGGAATTCCCAACCGGATCGAAGCTCGAGATGACGGTCGCGAAGTCATTATTCATCAATTTTGAGATTAAACTCCACATTGGAATTGGCTGGGAAGAGCAACAAGAACGATCACTCACGCTTTGATACATCACGAAAAAAATCATCTACCAGCGCGTTGGCGCCGCGCCGTCCTCCTGCGGCTAGTGCTTAGAATTCCGCTCCCCGATGGACGCCAAGGAACGGTCTCCGTTCCTCTCCGAAACGCTCACGAGCGGAAAGGAGAGACGTTTTCCTCTGTGAATTTCGGATCTTTCGGAGCTCCTGGGAAGGACAGGGAGAGAAGGACTCCTGATCAGAACACAAACTCGGCTCGTGTCGCGCGAAGAGCGTCAATCGACCCGAGCTTTGCATATGAGGGGACGAAAGTCGACAAGTGACGGCACTCCTGCCTGCTGGCAGATCACACGGTCACAGCGAACATCAGCTCGCTTGCAAATTTACTCGATGACTCCGTATCGGAGTTATTGTCGCTGCCTGCGTCGCGCATCGTTTCGAGAGTGTGATGGGTGACGCACGGAGTCCACCATCGAATTCCTCTCAAGGAAATACCATTCACGTCAGAAAGTACACGTAATATGTGCTCCAACGAAATCGTCTTTTCCGAGGCTCCTATCGGATAAGGGCTCCTTCTTATTTATGCTTACAGAAATCAGGTCCATAATTCCTCGATCTTTTGCAGGTACAAATGTCACCGCTTATCATCGAAAAAAGAAGGAAGTTGGATTTTTTCACGTTACTCCTCTGGTTGGCATTGTGGTCTTCACGCCGACTGGACGGAGCTGACCAACTGTGTAGACGGCGTCATTGACCGCGTAGAAGGGACCTTCAAAAGACGTTATTTCTACGTGACACTGCTCAGGGAACCCCGGTACCGATTCCTCTCAGAGTTCAGGCACGTACAGCGGGGAGCCACTTGGAAGACGTCCAGGCACATATGCAATGGTAAGATTGCTCCCCTATGACACAAGCGACGGAAGGCCCCCTATCATTGCGACTATCTTTAACGCGCTCGGAATTACGCTCTCGTCAAAACCGGCAATTTTCTCCCGAATGGAGCATTCATTGTGAGCTCTGTTGTTGTCGGTGTTGATATTCATTTTTTACTCTGGCTCTCGACGCCCTGCTGAAAACTCCACGGAGCAAAAAGGTTTTTCGAGAAAAAAGGCCCAGCTCCAATAAGAAACTCAATATTCGCTCCCAACCTGCTCCCCGGAAGGTTGTTCTAGGGTGCTGTATCGATCAGGCTTATTGAGCAAGCTCTGGCGTGAGCAGCAAAATTTTCACTCGCTCAGCCGCAACGCGCGCCTTGCAGAGCTCCGCCGAAGCGAAGTTCACGTGGGAGCGCCGGGCTCTAGCTATACATGATTTCTGAGTGGGAGAAGCGCAACCACCCTGTAGATAGTACTGCTCGATCGACTTCGCAATGGCATCCCGGCAAGCTCTCCGGGATCCGCCAGCTGGCCTTCCAACGACCGGTTCCAGAGACCGCTGACTCCATTGAAGCGATAAGCCGACAAACGCTACGCGGAATCTATCGAACCAATGGGAGGAATCGAAAGGACCTCGAGAGGGTCCTGTGCGAAGCCGCGGACAACAATGGAGAAATAACAGTAGCGAAGTTTGCAGCGGATTCGATCTTCAATAGAGCTGCTACGTCCATGCCGCAGATGAAGCAAAAGGGCGTGGACAAGAGAGCGTGCCTTCGCCTGAGGAACACTCGCTCGCACCCAGTCGGCGAGTTCGTCCCTGTGACCAGCGGTCTCCCGCCCGGTCGGCACGATGTCCTTTGCTCGCTGCATTGGCGACGGTCAGCTCGTCACTCAGATTGTGGTACTCGTCGCGGAGATACTCATAGATCCAACAAAGACTTTTCGCGGTGTTCCCCCTAAGCCCGAGCAAAATCGGGGCTCGAGACACGGTGGACAATGAGCAGCTTCGATCCTTCGTATTCACCTCATGGAGAACCCGACACGACGGCTCAGATTCGTCTGGAAGCTGAGATGGAACGAATCAATTTGTGATTGAATGCATCATCGAATGAATTGTCCGGCGAAGGGTTACAGAACTCAGTGTCCATGGATCCGTGCCGAGTTTGATACGAGAGCGAATCTGAGCGCTTTACGGCTAGCTAGCTCGCATGCCTCCTTTCGTCCCCTTCCCATCCCCGCCTCCTGTTCGCCGCCCGTAATTCATCCGTACACGCCACAAGATGGAGCTATCCATCTTTGCTTCCATACCCCAATAATTAGGAGCGGAAATAATATTTATGGACTGAATCTCATCGGCCGAAGTGCCCCCGCGAGCTATTCAAATGATCTGATCCACCACCAAGGAGGGGATGGAAATTCTTGATAATAAGACACTCCTGCTCATCTTTCAGGTCGATCTCCGACGTCGGACGAGCTCCCGCCGTGCTACAGCACTCCAGATTGGATGGATGTCACCTTTGGAGAGTTTGTGACCTGTCGGAGTAATTTAGCCGTTAATAGAATGACGAGAATGTTGGCCGACCTCACCTTGGTCGGCTGTTACAACGAGTCTGCCATGCCACGTGCTCAGAGAGACGCCCTTATGCTGGCGTCCGCTAAAAGCAATCTTCGGAAACTGGCCTTCTTTGCCTTATGCGAGTATCAGAAAATATCGCAATACCTCTTCGAGAGAACATTCGGTTTGCGTTTCAAGCAGGCGTTCGTTCAGTACAATTATACTCGTAGTTCTGTGGCCGTTTCCGAAGTGAGTAGTGCCGATCTTGAGAAGATCGATAATCTGAATCATTTGGACATCGAGCTGTACGCGTTCGCCAAAGCGCTGCTCATGGAAAGGTTCGAGAGAGCGAAACGCAACGATCCCGACTTCGAAGAGAACTTCAATCGGGTCATGAACGAGGTCGGCCATGATTAATTAGTTAGCCGTGATGGCCTGTGTGTGGAAGCCGGAGCCGCCACAGCGAAATGGAAGGATGACGATGAACATCTTGATCAGGGAATAACAGTGCCATGCCTTAGTCTCCTCGGAATTGATAGTTGAACTACGATATCACATACAGAGCCTTCTACCACTAATAGAAATCATTGCGGTGCGAATGCGAAACAGAAGCAGCTCCGGGATCGATAATGTTCCTGAAGGATACAGGTGAAGCACCGGTTCCGTTTAAAACCCTCTCGAGTCCGCGGAGTGGGCTCAAGTTGCCGTGGCTAAGGGATCGTCTCTCGGTAGGGGTTTTTCCCACCGGCTGATTAATTTCTCGATCGAAGCGGGCGCGCGAGCACCCACCGCTCGTTTCCCGTCCGCGTATCATCTGCCTGTCGGTTTGTTCCAGAGAGCCCGTAGTCTCGCCAACGTGAATTCATCAACCTAGCCCGGGCCGTCGAAGGCGTTTCGTGACGCACCGGATCGTTGTATTTTTGTCTGATTTGATCATTCTGATGTATCGTGCTCAGTAGGACATCACTGTACATAAACTACTTCAGTGCCTATCGTGCTGAGCCCGCGTGTATAGCCTCAATGTAATGAAATGGTGCCAGCAATCGGATCGAACTCTCGGATCTGAAGGGCCGGGAAACGACCTGGAAGCCTTATCGGAGACTTTCGCTGATTGAGTGAATTCGTGAGAATAGAATCACGAGCCCGGGAACAATCGTAGGAAGGTCCTTCGCTACGCTGTATGATCATCACATGCGTCGGAGACGCTCATCGTTCCGATGAAGGCGGTCGGGGAAATCGTGAGGCGGAAACGAGCTCACTGAATTCTAAAAGAACAGAGAGCTGTTCCCTTTTGAGTGAGAATTCGGTTCCGTAAGTAGAGATATGTAGACATTATACACGCTTCAACCCTCCATTCATGTAAGCTCGGCGTTGAAGTATTGCTTCAGTTCCGAATCTCAGGAGAAGTCTGCGGGAGTTTCGGAATGCTTGGCTGGGAAATAGATATCATTCGAATCTCCGATGACGAATCTGAACGGCCAGAATGGTGGGATTTCGGTTGTCCAATGGCCGACGGGTTCGATTGTACATGTAAAAAAACACGCCATCGACGTTGGAACAGTTAAATTTACTCACATACATATATTGCCATTGAAATGACACATAGTGAGAATTGTGTTGTACCTGGGGAAGGAGATGTTGAACAAGGATGTACCACGAGTCTCGGGTCACCTGTCATCGAATCAAACAGGGCGCACCCAGACCAGATTCCAGAGCCTAGATTAAAGTGAGCGATTTACGAAAAGAGAGTACAACCGTTATGCAATTCAGAAACATGGAATACTGACGCGCATGAATAATGTGCACGGAAGTGGGACACGGGAGGATCCATCCTGGTGTAAACCTGATTGTACCGACACCGACCCATTCGGAATCAAAACTCAAGTTTCAAGGCAGCAGGATCGGATGAGCCGTATAATCTGAGCACACACGTGTGGATGTGCCTCGCCACAGACAACGTAGAGCGAAATAAATTGATGGATAATACCTTAACAAACGGAGGATGTACGCCTCTTATTTCTCGCTCGTCGATGAGATCAACCTGCCCTGCTTGGGTATATCGCAACCAATAGGAGTCCTTGAGGGAACTCTCTTTCGGGCAGGAACAATCGCAGACACCGAATATGCCGGACGGATTCTCGGTACTTCGAGGTACCATCCGTACCTTGTTCGTACTTTTCGATGAGATACCGAGCGATCGCGGTCGAGGAATTCAATCGTCCTCCCAGTAATCTCGGTTCGACAAAAACATCGAACCCGTTCCTAATAATACACATCGACACCTATTGCCTTTCGACGGGAGGACCCTGTGTTTCCGACTACGACGATTCCCAGGTTCAAGCATCGGATTTCGAAACGGTCCGACGCATCCATTCTCTATCATAAAGGAATATCACCTTCCCTTTTTGCGCCACATTGAGCCCACCGGGGAGTCTCCTGTAATGATGCTGGAGCATTGCGCATTCGGTGCTTTGTTCATGAATACCATGGTCTAGCGGCTCACATTCAACATGCGCCGCTCGCCGTGGCTCGTGGTTTTGATTGTGACTTTTTGTGATATCGTCGATTCGAGGTGCAGGGGTCGTATAGAGCTCAGCTCGTTCGTTCACGAGCTCGTAGTGAACACGCAATCTCGGTGTGACTTACGGATAGTTCCCCCGAGCGAGGCGAACACCACCGTTCTGATCGTGCAGCAGCAGCTAACAGCCGATGAGAACTACGATGCGTCTCCGAATACTTCGTGCAACGTTGTCTATTCGCGTGAGTACCTCGAAGTTGGGTGATATTCGCATTCTTTGGGGAAGTTACTGTTTCAAACTTCCGCTGATACGAAGAGCCCGCCCCGAATCCTTGAATTTTCGCAGAAAATACGATCACTCATTGCGTTACGCTGAGTCGATCAATTTCTACTATTGCCATCAACGGTTCTTTCGACCTGACTTTCTATGAAGGCCGGTGGCCGCTGAATCTCACGTTCGTCGTCAACTCCTACCAAGGTTCGTGTAAGTATCGATATACATACTCGCCCCGAAGGTTCTCGCGGAAATCCCGCTCGTGGCCCTCGCTGCCAATCGCGAATCCATTCTTCGCGCCTCGCAGGAACATCACCGAGACCGAGCTCATCTGGGTGCTTTTCCAGGCTTCGCCAATTGCGAGTCCGACCTCGCGGTCGAGTCCGATACGGCTCTGCAGCTCACCCTCACCAGGACCACCGGCTGTCTGGACTACTGCATCGTGAATATCACGACACAGAGACCTTTTGTCGTCATTTGTCCAACGCCATTCTGCCATTATATCCTGTATTCATACGCTCTCGGACAACTCTTGAGACCATCTGTGGACAACCAATATGCATTGAATGGTACGATAGTTCCGCTCTTGGATAGTTTCCGACAGGTGCGGCGATCGGCAAAGCGTCAGATCGTATATTTCGCGCAAAGATCGACCGCAGTGCTCCTCACGCTTCGGAATATGAAAATCCGGAGCACCTTGAAGACCTGTACTTCAAAGGGCTGGACGGTCGACTCCGTGAGATCGCTGCATTTCCGCCCGATGGAAAGAGATGTAGGCCAGGACTGCTCGCACCCATCCTCGAGGACCCGAATTAACTCGGTCTCCCGTATAGACAAAGACGAAGCAATGCCGGCGGAACCAAGGAGTTTCGACTCTGCCTGGTCATCAACCATGCAGATACTCAATATGCGATATGCAATCGCTCGGGGCAGAGGCGAACTATGTTTAGAAGAGAACCTTCCAAAATATTCTATTGATCAGAGATCTGCTATAACTTGTTCTTCCAGGCACAAAGGCGAACCTTCTGCTCTACGTCCCGACAAATAACAGAATGATAATATCAATAGAAGGTCCCTCTGCTGTCGTTCGACCAACAACCGCCCTCCCTCCACCGCCGCCGACGACAACGTTGCCCACAACGACAGCGAGGACCACAGCTGCGACCACTACGCCGTCGACGACGATCACAAATCCCACAACCGCTGCTCCTGTTCTCACAACGTCGAGTGGAACAAGTCGTCGACCGACGGTGCCCCCTACGACGCAGGCAGCGACGACGACAGCTCCCACAGCGCGAAGTACAACTCGGACGCAACTTTCGACGACCACTCGAGCCACGGTCTCAACGACCACCGAAAGCATCCGGACTACGACCGAATTTTGGTGGGACGATACACACTGCTCCCCGGGGTTTTTCCGACGGATGGGCTGTTTTCTCCAGCGGCTATGGGAGAATCTCAAAGCATTCATCGACAGCTATCGGAGGCGCCGGACGGCCAGAATCAGATGATCTATTCAGCGCCACCTCGGGATTCTCACAGCTGGATCGAGAGCAGGGAAAATCCTCAACAGTGTATTTATTTCGTGATCATGGTTAGAATGGACTCGGCCAGTATGTGCGCCACAAGGTGCCAATAACGCGCGAGCATCAATTCCCCTGCTTGAGGTCGGGGACCACAACAGAGAGAGGGAAGGGTATCGTGTTCTTCAGATCATCTGAAACCTCGTACTCCTTATCGTTAAGATGTTGATCCGCACTGAATCGGAGCTTAGATCCACTGCTTACGCCATGGTCGATTTAGATATGTCTCTTTCCAACCTATGCACATCTGTACATGATGCCAAGAAGCACTGATACTCGAGAGTATACCATAGATGAAAAAGGCTCGATCTTTTTATTATTCTTCCATAGTCCTTCTCCCTCCCATCCGAATCACGAGATACAGAAATCCTACGATTCGTACCCTGAAACAACACTTGATCCACAACCAACGTTTCCTGACGGATATGATGAACCACGAGACCATAGGCTCGACAATTCTTTGATACGTATTGCCCTCGCAGTACCGGATTTTCCGCGGACGGAAAAGCGAAGGATTGAATTTGAGTTCTCTGAAGGGCTTGCGCCACCGCACCGGTGCTCCTAACATCCGTGGCTCGAAAGCACCTTCACTTCAGTCGAGAGCGACTCAGAAGCGCTCCTCAGGTAAGATTGCCAGGCATGCAATAGGTTCATCCCTCACTACTTCCCGTCGCAGGGAAAAATCTTCTACAGATCTGCAGAGCCATCAGAAGCTAGCATTAGGAGCTTGTATATGGAAGGTAGTCGCGATGATCTTGCATTGACCATAGGGAAAAAGTCCGAGGAAGCATGTCTCGATGTACACCATCGCTCGGTCCAGAAAAATTGACTGCTTTGTGCCTGAACAACTTTAGGATGGAAGAAAGCAATTCCATAAGATAAAATTGGGGGAATGGAGCAAGACCGTTCCTTGGATAGACACCCGGAGGTGAGCGCTATCTAGCCAGGGCGGTCAAACTCCACAGGGCGAAGGAGAAGTTACTCATCTCGTAGAAATCTGTTTCCGAGCGGTAAATAGAACACAACAAATCAGTAGTGGCTCAGAAAACATCGATTGCTGGTCGAGTCGTGTATCTCTCAAACCCTTGTCTCATTATAGACGCAAGCGTCTTTGCATATGGCTCCGACCCAGAGAGCGACCGCGCGAGCTCCAGCATCCTCTCTGTCAGCGGTTAGAGCATCGCTCACGTAGCTCGCCCTTCCAGCGTTGGCACTCATCTTGGCAGTTTCGATGGCCGCTTCATCTGCAGCTGTTAGAATTTCCACGCAGCTCTGTCCCGATTCGAGGCTATTGACAACAGCCAGCAAGACGTCCACCTTAGAGGATAAGATCAAAAGAGGTGTGAGGTTCACGAAATCATTTGAGATGAGATCTCGTATGTTACCCTGGATAAATACTTCAGGCTCACGCGTTCCTCACCATTGTTCGATCACCCTTCGCCGCTCCTCCGTATTCCATGATTTTCTTCGTAGCGGCACGTAAAGATTCTGTCACGAGTGATTGCGAAATGCTGAGCTCCCCGCAGCCGCTAGCGCGAATTCTCGATGCGATACCATGGAACATGAGGGAGTAGACAGCACCGCTGGTGCCGCCCATAATATTCTCGGCAACAGACGCGAATTGCATAAAGGCCTCGGCCGGTTGCCTGAATAACTCAGTGTTGTTGTCGAGGATATCCGCGATCACTGAAACGTCCGAAGCACCCATTGAGAACTTGAAAAACTGCCACCTGAGATTGGCACTCTCATCGCTGGGTGATGAGCCAAATAAGAGCCGATCAGGGCCGAGAGCAAGAGAGAACTCACCTCTTGCGCCACCAGAGAGACAGGAACCGCAGTCACCGTCTCCGCAACCGGAGTCGAGATCATTCAATGAATCCTTGGCGGCGATAATTGCATTCACAGCAGATTGTGCGAGTTTCAAAATGCGGATGGCTTCGAAGTCGTTGCATGATGGTCCCTGGCGTCTCTTGTGATGCTCGTTTGAAACCGGAGGTAAACACGGCGAGTCCAAACGATCTTTGCAGTTTTTCGTTGTGTAGGGTTGAAACCAGTATGGAGCGCTCGTGGGTTCATCTGAATATCCAAATCTCGGAGTTAGTTTTCGAACCAATTTCGGTATCGAACAGGGATTCAAACATCTGTGTTCAGCACACGCTGACTTCGATGCCTATGGGAGTTTCTGGCCATATAATTCTTTGGATTGGTTATACTTACCCAGCCAAGAGAGCGAGTCCGTGGCAGGCTTCAACAACGATAAAGAGAAACCCGCCATATCAAGGGAGGTCATGAAAGGTCCGCAGTAAAGTCGGATAACGTCTACCCCTCGGGAATCTGCAGAGAAATATGTGCACTGTCAGAGCTCGGATTTCCTTCCGCTCGAGGATATTCGCTGATGCCACATGCCACGCATCTCCATTATTTTCCCCAGCATTAGAAGCTTCGCAGGGCCGGGAACTCACCGAAAAAGCTCACTACGTTCTTGCAAACGATACCCATTTCGAGTTGCGTCATAGCACCAAGGTTATTCACCATCACAACAGCTTTTTCGGCTTCTCCAAAATGGATGGACTCCAGAAGCATGGATCCCATCGAGGATATGATTGTGTCACAGCTTGCCACGTCCACCCGTCTGATTCCGGCCTCGCCTGAAGACAGTTTCATATAATTTCGGATTGCGAGCGTGAGACCCCATGAATCCACTCGGGGGATGGTTTGAATGATTAGCCCGCTCCCTCATAGTAACGGGAAGTCGCGTTCGTGGGAATTTCTCTGGAGTGTACGAACCATGGACGCCGAGGCCGAATTCCATCTGTCCCACCGGTAGGTCGAATAAGAAGCTATGTGATTCCGGTAGAGCGATGGATCCCAGCGAAACACCTATGCTTGCGAGGGTTGTGCTATTGAAATGTTCCAGAGCGGTTTGAATCTCCTGCAAGCTCTTCCCCGCCTCGGCCATGGCACCGGCAATCTGCAGCAAGTAGATACAAGGTATTCGAACTGAGAAAGGACCATCCATGATCTCATGTCACCGAGCCAGGAGTTCCGGCTCGCGACTTGCAAGGACCTCGGTGTAGGGCGGTGGAACCACCCCCGGTAGCGTCTCGGGACCACTAACCTTCAGCACTAGGGCCCCGCCGCTCAAACCTCGACGACCTGCACGCTTCCTACCGGTGGCAACGTCATCGGCGATGATGACCATGTGGATCGGACGTTCTTCGCCGAATTCGGAGCGGAATCTCTCGATCGCGAGCCCGAAATTCAACCTGTCGCCGGTGTAGTTGAAAACAAGCGCTAAGATCCCGCCTGCGAAAAAGAAACGGAATTTGCAGACGGCGTTCGGGCTTAGAATCGGTGCGACCATTGATGTTCAAGTCGAAGACCGGAATTCCCAATGCATTAGGCGACCTTTACCATGTCTAGCTCCTTGGGGAGCTGCCGAGGCCAACTTTCGCAGGGTGTTCAGTATTTGTCCTGGAGGCGGGGATGTGAACACCTGGCCCGCGATTGCGGCTGTCAGCATGCCATTGCCGACAAAGCCGCCGAATGTTGGTTCGTGACCCGAGCCCCCACCTGAGACGACGCAGACCTGGAATTCGGGACTAATCTGTTTGTTCGCGCTCTGCGAGACCGACCCCTGAAATCTGCATTAGACAGGCCGCACGTCGACGTTACAGTCTGCTTACCTTGCCCGCGGCCACATGCTGCCGGAAGTCGTGTCGGAATATAGAATTCTCATTTTCGAGGATGCGGAGTCCTGGATTGAGGGCTACTAAGCCTTCGAGCGACTCCCGGACGACATTTTTACCGGGATTGGAAACTTTAGGTCGGGCGCGAGTTTCGCTCATCGTCCTGCAAGAGTCACAAGGCGTTTTGTCACAACGGGAATCATTCTCAGAGCCTATTCCACACATCCTGTGCTCGCAGTTGAGAATCGCCGACGGAGACTTGATGCGTTAGCCGAATCTCGAGTGCGATTCAATAGATGACTTCCACGGCTCTTTTTTTCTAGTGGCGTCGCGCCGCGAGGAGCGAGAGTTTAGCTGTGCTTCAGCATGAGCAACTCTTTCCGGACCTCACCCCGAGTAATTCGTCGGAGGATGTTCTCCGTCGGGACCTGCCTCGAATATTGGCGCGGTACAAGTGCAATGATGTGATCGCTCCGCTCTTGTGGCTTGATTGATGGGTCAACTCCGTCGCAAAACACCCGCGAATCGGCGACAGGGGGCCAGAGATCGAGAAATCGTTATAAAACTGGCGCATCGTAGCGCTCGTCTCAGCCCACACGGCCGAGAACCACGGCGGGAGCCCAGCTCAGGAGGCTAGGGAAGCCACTGTAATCTTCTCGAATTCATTTGAGGTGTCGGCCATCCCAACGTCGGTCTCAGTATCTTACGCGAGTTCCGACTACCCACTGTGTCGCATATTCGGCACCGGCGGCAGTTCCGACGGAGAGATTCTCGAACCTCCCTTATCAGCTGTCCGGAAAATGCCACCGGGATTCCGTAATTCGGAACTCAGCCCCGCGGGGAGTGCTCCTTAAAGAATTCAACCGGCATAGCTCATCTGATCGATTGAGGCAATTGCGAGCTTTCGCAATTTAGATCGCGGGCTGGTTTTCAAACCCCTGAAGAGTATCACTGCTGAGTTCATCCTTACTCTGCGGTACCCCTCTTAAAGAATGGATCGTATGTCGTATAGATCGCGGAGAGTCGGATCAAAAGATTCCTGACTGATCAGAAAATAAACATATCGATTAGAACATATCGAAGTCGCACCGTAGGGCAGCAGTTCGGGTTGCCGTTCCAGGGCTCGTCAGTTCGGGGCTAGCTCACAAACAGTCATTCGGATACAGTGATCGAATTTCTTGAGAATGCGTTCCATGAATCTCTTAGGGCTCAGACAGATCTACTCCGTCGCGGGCTCATAGTGGACATCACGTGAATAGAAATCAGACGTCCATAGTCAGACTAGCAGAAATAGGCGGCTGCTTCCCTCGGTCTTTATCGACGCTACCAGTCGGGAGAAGCTCTGCACCAATCGAGAGCTGCCGTATAGTCTTGGCCAAGCGTCTGATGTTTCCCCTCTTCGTTTCCGAGAACGCACACAACTCAGGCCCTTGCAACCCGCTGTGTAGATCTAAATGGATCTCGAAGGTAGGTTCTTCGCCGTAGGCAGGTCTCGGTCGGACCTATCGCATTTGCCTTGTGAAAATCGCTCGAGACGAAGAGAAAGGCTTCTATTGTGATGACCTGAAGATCGATGGAATTATCCGGAACTCCTGATACGATGAGGAACGCGACTCGGACGTTGCAGCGAGAGGACTTGCCCAAACTTTTTCCAAATCAAATTCTGTCTGTTCGGTACGATACCATCCCTCTCAATCAGGGTATTAGGATATCTTTTAGGATCTCAAGCATTCCCCGTAAGAGCTCTCATTCGAGGCCCGCTCGAGAAGAGTCTGATGAATATGTCCGCGTCGATGCTTTAAGTTGAGCAGAAGATTTCATTCGTCCGGCTCGCAAAAAGGATGAGTTTCTTGTGCAGAACGATAGAGTCAGCGAACTGATAATGATAAATTATAGTGGTCAGCTTCGTCAACAGACGCGCTCCTTCAGTTGTTCGGGCTTAAATCTAGATTCTATTGGGATTGGGACAACCTGAATGCCTCCTCGATGCTTGACAGAACCGAGATCGGAGGGATAACGTTGAAGCTCAGCTCATGGGATGCCGGACATCCGAATCATTTTAGGACCTCTCATGGTATGAGCTCAGGTATGAGCGTCCATCTCGAGCGTGATATGCCGCGGCTTTTTGAAGCGATCTCCCAGGAGACGGATGCGGAAACACGCCCATCCCCGCTTACGCCGCGCTGCTGAGGTGTTGGAAGCACAGGGGAGGGTGCTTTCGGAGATGCGCTTGCTGTCATGTCGGCAAGCGGACACGTCGGGAACGAACCTGACGATCGAAATCGCGTTGCTGCTCAATTTCCTTCGCGTCCACCCTCCCCAGGAATCAAGGTTTCGGAACTCTGATACTTCGCCGACGGTCGACCGACCGATCTCCGATGGAATCAGAGATCGTGGGCGGTTGCGGACAGACGGACACAATTGGCGTGCTCGCCTGATAGTCTTGAAATCTTCGGGACAAGACACGTAATCTTTCTTCGAAGGCCGAAGCGTGCCTTGCGAAGGTTCAAGGGTCTCGTGTCATGAGGGAGGTCTCAACCAACCTGGTGAGCAGAGCTGCGCTGAGATGTCGGGCAAATGACGTTGCATAGCATTACTTATCTATGGGTTTGCGAGACATTTCTTGATATGTCGCGGGGCCTCTGGGTTCTGGGTCCGGACGGATGGTGGACCCCCCCTCATGTCCTCACCGCACAACATTCTTTTCAACGACCGAAACACGCCACGGAAAGGATAGCTGTGTCGAGGACGTTGTTCGCCCTCTCCCTGAGTCCTCGAGAAAGGGTCCTCGAATACGACTTCCGAAAACGCCGCCCTTGAGCCTCACCTACCGCGCAAGGACTGCTCGCGGAATCAGACTCCTCCTTCTCCCACAATGGAGGTTTCCAAGCGAGGTGTACGACGCCCCGACGAGTCTCGAGTGAAGATTTCGGAACGTGAAGTCTCTCGGTGATTCTCCATGGAGCAAGCACGTGGTAATAATGAGGACAGAACGCTCTGATACGCGCTCCCGCTGCCATCGCTTGTCTCGCGCATTGTCTAGAACTCGAGAAATTCCCGAAGCTGTTCAGTATCCGGAATCAGCTTACCTTCTTATCGGGCAGCGAATGGAAGAGGGCAGCGCGAATACCTTGTGAGAGCGCTCAAGCTGTTCGATGAACTCTCCCAGCGGCTCTCCTATAGATGATTAGGATCCAGATTATCGACGGAACCCTCCAATCATGATGGCTTTCGATAAGGCGCGTTAGCCGCCGTGAACCGTCGAAGAGTGTTTATCCACTTGACCGACCCTCCAAACCGCAATAATAATTCCTCCGCGTTCCGAATTCAGAGTTTTCCTTATCGTTCTTTAGAATTCCTTTCACCCAAGGTCGTGCGTTGTCTTCGGCCTGAGCTTGGGTTCCAGAGCGATATCCGACGATGTTCTCCGGAAGGTGCTTCCGAATATTGGCAGTAGTTTTCTCATTTGTCGTGACCGTTCGTCCAGCTTCAGTCGCGAACAACCGACCCGTCGTCGGGATCGTCGCCGAGGACTACTATGGACGTATCCCAGGGAAATCGACCTACATCGCTGCATCGTACGTCAAATGGGCCGAAGCTGCTGGGGCACGAGTGCTCCCGATTTTTATCAACCAAACGGAGGAGTACTACGATCGAGTTCTCGGTCTTGTCAACGGAGTGATATTCCCAGGTTTGTTTGAAGACGTTTAGACTCGACCGATCGTCGGATTCTGATGGAGTAAGCCTCAGGATCAGTCTCTGATTTGATTGATGGGCAGGTGGCGCTGTCCACATCGATAAGGACACGGGATATGGTAACAGCGGCCGATTGATATACAAGAAAATTCATCAACGAAATCTCGACGGATACCTACCTCTGTGGGGAACGTGTTTAGGCATGGAATTGGTCATCTACGCTCATTTGAATCGGAATGATCCCCGAACCAGGTTCGTAGGCAGATACCCTCCCGTATAGGATAGGTATAGGGCGGAGAGCGTCGAACGTCAGTGTCGCTCGCGAGCTCACGCAGACTCCTCCCAGTTGACCCGATGAATCTCCACTCCACCATTCACAGAGCTTTATCTCCCCGGTTTCAGATGTGCTATGCAGGATAAGGCCCTGTCTCTCCAGCTTGGCGAGACTCATGGAAGATTATTGGGCTCTGCACCGGAAAACATAATCCAGTAAGTTAAAATGATGAACTTCCGTCGGGGTTGAGGAAAGACGGGATTTCACCGGGGAAACCACCCACCGGCGCCGAGTTCGAGAATTTCGTTCGAAATATAGATACCGCATATTCCGAGTTGAGATTTTTCCGCCGACTACCCATATCGCACCTCCACCATCTAACGGCACTAACGCCGCCTCATGTACCTTCTTCGAAACAGGAAACTCACCACGGAACCTGTGAATATCCATTACCACAGTTGGTGCCTGACTTCGAAAAACTTCAGAGCCTTCAATTTAGACAGTGATTTTAGCGCCCTAGCCTTCAATAATGACTCCGAAGGCAGGAAATTCGTGTCCGTACTGGAGCACAAGTATATGCCAATCTACCTGACACAATTTCACCCTGAGAAGCCACAGTTCGAATGGGTGAGATGCCTAATGAAATTATCCTTTTTTGTGTTCCGTATTCCGATATGAGAGAGTCCACCCTTATGCGGAGCGTAAGAACGATTTATCTTACGATCATGTGCAGTTTTTTTTCGGCGCAGCGTTCGCGATCCTTAGTGTCATCACTCACGTCTTCTGACCATTTTCTAGGTCGATAACTTGAAGCATCACAACATTCCACATTCAAGCTCGGCTATCGCAGTAGGCCAATTCTTCGCGAACTTCTTCATCGATGAATGTCGCAAAAACAAAGCTCAGTTCCCTGCGGAAAACAATGGAGAGCTCATCTATGCGTACCCGGTTTCCAACACCGGAGCGATCTCGATATATGAGCAGAGCTATCTTTTCGATTGAAGTGGCACCTCCCGCCTCGAATCGGGATTTCGACACCTGGGAATCATTCCACAAGATCAATGAATCATGAATGAATAATTGATGGCGGAATCATATTCGGATTTCCCTTCCACGCGAGAGAAATCGGTTTTCCTTCCGCGGCGCTTGCCCTAATGAAGGTCATCTTCTGAACAGGGCGGGACACATATTCCTCTTGGTTGTCAACCGCAGCTCATCGAGTACATCATACTGATATTCCTCGATGCGCGATTTTTTCGTACTGATGGATGCGATATAATGATAAAGCGATTGATTGTGAGACGAAAAGACCTGGTCTCCACTTTCGGCACGAGTTCTGTCCCGCTTTCGGGCTCAGCAAGATATGATTTTTTTCTTAAGTGCTCCGTCTCCTTCGGAGGTCCAAGATCACTGTCGAATGGCCCGCGAGTTCCGACTGAATACATTCCCATGTTGAAGCAGGACTCGGGCATCGATTCGCGACGCCCAGAGATGCACTTCCCGTCCCATGCCTTCTCGAAAAATTCCGAATATCCGAATCGTCGCCCCACAATGGTATGCTCAGGGACGACTCGAACGAGAGCTTCCGGGAAGAATCTCGAAGCGAAGATTCGGGGACTCCTACCACCGGTCCAAGAATCGTGTGGGAGGATGGATCAACTGAATGAACGTACCCGGTCACACCGAGGCCGATACTCACAAACAGAGCCGAAACCGTTCCCCCTCCCCATCCTCGTACCGTACCGTAGGCTATGGCTTCATGGGCTATAAGTCGGTTCTCTGCCTGACTCATTGAACGTGGGTCGCGTAACTGATCCAGAAGGGCAGCGAAATTCGTATCGGTACAGTAGGAGAAAATCATGGTCCGGACTCTCCAGCCTGGCTTCCTGTAGCCGCGTCGGAAACCAAAAAGTATTAGCGCTCTGTCCCAATCGCTGAAATCCTCACGGTTTTCGTCTCCTATTTTCGGTGCCCAGATTCATTGACAATATATTGTATTATATTGTCGGACCTTGCGGCTAGTCTTCACCGCCAAAAGGAAAAGAGGGTTGCAGATTTTGGCGAGGATCGTCGCGTGGCCTTCATCAAGATTTCATGTAAATTCGAGAGATAACAATGAGCTGCGTGGATGGTCGAGAGGATAAGAGCTTTGCGGGGATAACATCCGCATCCAATCTGCAAAAGTTTATCCCCCTTCGAACGACTTCGCCAAGTCAAGCGTGTCGATTCGGGTACGCTTTGGACCGATGCAGCTCACAACATGCTTTTGCGTTCTCTCTCTGGAAAACTTCCGTAGTGTTCGTGAGCTCGAACAAGATGCGCTCAGAATTCGTGCTCATATTTCGAATGCCTCCGGAATGAAGAACTCGCGAATCCGGCTCCGGAAAAGCTGCTCCGTCGATTCTCCCGACGAAAATGCGCGAACCGAACGCTCTCCCCGCAGGTATGAAAAGAAGAGTCTTGGAAGTATTGCTTTACGGGAAATAATGACAGGATAGCCGCAGTTACCCAGAGCGCAGCCCAGCAGAGGCTACCTTACGGTCCGCGCTCAGAGGTCCCAAGCTCCGTATCCCGCGTGCATACGAAGCAATCAATGGCATGGATTGAAATTTGGAGACTGCACAAATGTTCCTCCATCGCATCATCGGATCTTTGCGTATCAGTATGCTTCGAGAACAGATGTTCACCGATTGACCTACGATTTTGGCCGACAGAGCGATAATCATCCGTAACAATCGTTGTGAGCGAGTCTGTCACGATTGGGTCTTCGTAGGAGTCTTTGTGAACGAGCCGCTCGAGCACGCGCTACTCAGGTATAAAGCTCAGCTTCAACGATCTCGATGCCATCGGGCTCTCCGGATAGTCAACATTCACAATGAAAGCTTTCCTCACCGTTCTGTTTTTGGCATCGGCGTCTGGTAAGGATTCCCTGAGTTTCCGCTCGGATTCGAGGTCTGAGGGCAGCGTTCGCTCGTACATCTTCCACTCGTTTCTCTTAGCGTTAGGTTCACGCTTTTTGCAGCTCAATTGCCTCCGATGATGAGCAGCTACATGCCGTACGGCGGAATGCCGATCGTCTCCGGGCCTCCCGTGGTCAATTCACCTCCCATGGTGACGAGATCGTCGATGATGTCAGGAGCTCCCTTGTTGTCTGGATCTTCGATCATGTCTGGCGGTCCAATGATTTCAGGGAGTTCGATCCTATCGAGCGGTGGCATGCAGCCCGTGGAAGTTCGCGACGAAAGTTGCGTGGTCCGATGTGTTCGACAATGCCAGAACGAAGGTTCGTCGGCCATGCGCACCGTAGATTTGACCAGTTTCCAACCGAGCCGGGGAAACAACGGAGGCACTAACAACAACGGTTTCAACGTGGGTCTGACAGCTGATTTCCCCTCCGGCATGTCGTCAGAAACATCGCGGCTCACCATTGCCCCATCCAGTGAGTTCGCCACTAATTGATCGAGACGGAAGTTTTTCAAACATTCCGTCGAAATCGAGGCGCCGATTGACCCACATCAGATTCGGTCCAATTTTCGGAATACCTTCTAAAGATACCTCGTTCCATTTTAGCGAAAGGATCGTCGCAGGGTAACTCCTCCCTTCCGATGAGATCTCAATTGCTAGATGGTTTCTATGCGGTGCCCATGGATTTCGGCGAGACGTTACTCAGGTTCTGAGCCTTATTTTTCCAGGACAAATCTCCGTCAAGGGATGAGAGCGTTCAGCAGTTTCAACTTCAAACCTTGCGCGTGGTCAATTCAATTATTTGAGTGTACAACAGAAATGCCTATATGTCAACCGAATAAATCAGTGGAGCTGTGAAACTATTCGATCTTGGCTTTTGGAGGGAGAAATTCCCTTGCTGGAGAAAGGAACCTTCTTCATTCCGCAATCTTTCGAAAAATGGCTGCGCCTGGATCTTTAGACCTGGATCCCGTGCGGGATGCAACTTCCTGACCCTTGGAGGAGTGTCGGCGATTGAGGCATTGGGCGCCTCATTTCTACAAGAAATGCAAGACCAATGGGATCGAGCCGACATTTGCTTCTGTCGTTTTATGTTAATTGCTCAGCCACGGAAAAACTTTATGACCGACCTGTCGCATATATCTCCAGTTGGCCGTATGATAGACGCAATGAGCAGCACAACGAGAGATCAGCCGTAAGCAAAGTAGGCAATGAAGAAGAGGAGAAGATAGGTTAGCGGAGTTTATTCGTTCCGTTGAGCGCCACACTCTAATGGAATTAGAACTGGTCTCTCGAAGAGGGTGACACGTCTTTGTTTCAGCTTTTTCGTGCTCGGCGTCCGATCGCTGCCGGTGAGTTTCTCAAAGCTTCGAGCACTCGGCGGTGGGGCGGGGAACGGCGGTATTTCCTGAACGGACATGATACCCGAGAGTATTGCGGCTTTCTTCTGACGAGAGACCGAGCTACGACGACGACGACGACTAGAAGAGAATATCTCCTCGCGGTCGACGACCACCGCCACGATTGGCGATGGACAGTGTGATCGGAGTAATGGTGCTGAGCACAAGCGCTCGAAACATGAGACATCTGCATGTTAAGCTTTCAACGGGTCGTAGAGCCCGAGTTGCTGTTGTTGAAAGATGGGTAGTCGAATCTGAGCTAGAACGTCCAGCCTGTCGAGGGCTCCGCGCCAAAGTATGCGCGCGAAGAGTTGATCGGAAGGCCTCTGTTTGGCGGACGAAGGAGCGAGCTAGCTAGCCTGCTGACTGACTGACTGGCTCTTTGCTTACATAGAAACTTACATCCTCGGACATCAACCATTGGAAGGCCGAACATGAATTGAGCAAGAACGGCAGGTCGGCGGTCAATTCAAGAATCATACCAGCCCACCGACCGACCGATCGGCCGGCGGCCAGCCAGACGCTCGGCCGGGCAGCGGATCTTTCAGTCATTCGTTCGGACGGTCGGTCACCCAGGGAGCCACCGAGATAGGCATGCCGACGGCATTCGTTCGTCGGCCCCACTAACCGTGCTACCCTGGCGAAGATCTCAGTTTGAGGAGATCCTGTGCAGTGTCCCCGTCGAAGGAGCCACTCGCCAGGGGACCGTTGCGAGTGATGGCAGCTCTTGCCTCTTCAGCTCGGGTCGGAATGACGTGCAAAGATGTTCTTCTGCTTGTGTCGCTTCTGTACATCTTCTGCGGTGAGTACATGTTGCCTGATCGATGTTCGGGGTGGAATCAATTAGCCGACCGTAGCGAGAGAAGGGTTCTCAGAATTAGCACCAAATGTTTCCGAAGTTTGCGTCGCGACCGGCATGAAGTGCGGTTGGTGTTCTCGCGGCTTCGGTTGTGATTCTGAGGTGGTCCCGCGATATGTCCGACCGATGATCCTCACACGCCCATCGACGCGGGAGAGACAGCTGACTCGAGAGCGACGAAGCCTCTTTCTTCACCGAGCGAGCCGGTCGCTAATTTCTATCCAAGTTGCTTGGGGCGGATCAAGTGATGGTCATGCGGGCGGACGGTTGAGACTTCCCGAGAGTGTATCTTGCAACCTCAGTATGCGCCTACGAGGAAAATACCTACCATGGTCGATTGATCGAAAATGCGAATGTAATTGATCGAGTGCTGATATCTTTCGAGCTGATTCATTGTTGGAAGATCGAAAGAGCGACTCTACTCGAGCAACTGGTGCTCGGAGGAAAGTCTACAAAAGACCATGCTGTACTGAGTGAGCAGCTTCCGCTTTCAATTTACGTGAATCGATGTTGCGGCGATTTCAGCGCATTCGAGAGCCCCGCACCTAGCGGAGGCCAGACATCACTCGCAGAGGAGCCACCGGCTAAGATTCCTGGCAGGTGAGATCACGCAGTTCATCCGGAACGATCGGCTCCGAATGCTTCGGAAGAGTTTATCGTCTATCCATTGTATTTTAGAGCTCGAACGGTCCTTGGGACAACGTGTAGCACATCAAAGTCAAGACGTGCGAGATACCTTCAGTCGGAAGGGTTCGATGAGCAGAGACATCGATGACTATCCTGCCATCATACAAGAAGCCAATACAGTGTCTGTGCTGGTCGTACCGCGTCTAGAAGAAGGCACTTCCGATTACTTGGTAAAGAGTACTCTCTGTTTCGCAGCTGCCGTGGAACAAGGCAGGCAAGCGTTGCTCCACCGATCCGGAATTCGCTCTTTCACCCTTCCCTCGCGAAAATACACCTCTGTATGCCGGAAGAGAACATAGATAGTAGATTGATTTTCAGGAGCCGCTGGTGGCTAGAACCGAGAACCGGAATATTCACTTCAGGCCCGTGAAACCCATAATCAGTGAGAAACTCAACAAATATATCGGAGGTAGGCGTTCCGCAGTTTATGGAGCCGGAGATACTTCCGCGTATCTATCCTTGACTGTTCGGGTCGGCTATCTCAGCACCTGGATGATTTTTTCTGAAAATTTCAGGTTCGCCCGGCAGGGAGAAGCGTCAAGATGAAGAGGAGCCCCTGCTACCGAAAACAGCGGTGAGATTTTGCCTAGAAATGGATTATTCCCCAAGACCTGATTTTTCTGCCTTGGGAACCCTCTGAGAGAGGGGTCTCGCGACTTGGAAAAGCTGAAACGATCCATATTTTTGCTCCAGACCGTATGTGAGACGCGTTACGACTGGGTTCTCCTGAACAGAACGTGGGATACGGAGGGTCAGGAGGTCGAGATTTATCACGGCAAATATGCCCAATACGTCCATGTTTACTATTGCGCCAATAAAGGCGGCAGCTGTAACGGTATCAGCGACGAGTGAGTGTCATTTCCGGCTTACAACCTTTAGAAATCGCACAGCTGCTGATGATCCTGGGGCTCTTTCCTGCTTGCGGCTCGTCCGACAGGACCTCTGGCCTGAGGCTCCGAGAAGCTCCGAGTGCGTTCTACGATGCTTCTATTTTGCTTTTCCAGATTCACGAGCGAATGTCTCGAAAAAGAGGCTTTTGCGAAATTGTTAGTGAAGAAAGAACCGGGGGCAGACGGTCTCAATTATCAGTTGACAGCGGTACAGATCCCGCATCATTGCTTTTGTCAACTAATGAAAAAGACGGATGCGTAGAAACCTCTGGGTAGAAACGAGTATTCGGGAGGAGATCACGGGCGACGTGAAGTGTTGAAAGTTCGAGCAGCGGCGAACGTACGACGAATGTCACGAGCTGCGTCCTTACGCTTTGTTCTCGGTTGGAGCCACTCATTCAGATTAGTGACCGAAAATTGGATCGCAAGCTGAGGGAGCCTTACTCATGTGTTTTTAGAAACTGTGCTAGCATGAGGGTGAGCGGAGGAGACGCCGGAAATGCGCTCTGTCTCCAGCAACCAAGTCCGGAAAAGTAATCGGAAGCATAATAAAAGCCTCAGACGAGCACTTGATGAACTCCATGGAGGGCTTAGATTCAAATCTTGTGACCATAGATTCCGCACCAGAGTTCCTCGCTTGCCCGTCGGCAGCGGTCCCCGACATCTTTTCAGCGCGGGACCCCCTGTGCCGACACCACCTGCGAAGTCATTCCGGAAGTTCCAGTCGGTGGCTCCGCCAGATAGAGAATATCTTCGTGTTCTCCATCGGATGAGCCGTTACAGTATATCTGTTGAGGAATTCTGACGCAGTGGGCCTGGTCGATATTCTTGCAAGCTATATCGAATATATTTTTTCCATAAGTTATAATCACAGCATAAGTTATAATCACATCACCGACTTTGGGAGCTCTCGAAGAGATGCAAGGCCCCGGAGCGGTCACAGGAACCTCTCTTGAGAACCCCCGCCCCGCGGCGAGGTCGAGCGTCCCTCCAGCTCATTCCCGTCGAGATTGTCGCGTTCTATTAAAGAGTTGGATTGAGATCCTTGACCCCTGACGCTTATGCAACCCAATCTTGGTCCCGTCAAGTTTCTGTAAAAGTCTTGTCCGAGTCGGTTTCGCAATCGAGATTCCGGATTTATGCTCCGCATTGCGAGCAATTTCTTCGAGTTGGGGGATCCAGTCCGAATCGCGCTTGCCCCATGATCTCACAGGCGGTCCGAATTATTGGCTGCGGTCCGAATCGAATCCCTGGAGTCGCCTTGTTTATGCATGCCTCACACCGTACCGATGCTGATTCCCCGAGCTGAAACTCTATCACGGATGAGAAATATTGTTGCTCTTCCCGAGCTCCATGGCGGCACAGCCACCAATCGGAGCAAGGTTCTCGTGCAACATCGAGCAGCGACAAATATGAATCAGCATGAGAGCCGAGGGCAACATTTTAACATCTAACATCTAAAGCTCGTTCGGATCCGCTGCATGATGAATAATGAGCTATGGCTCAGGCGGATGAATTTTCTTCGTCGAGGCCTGAAAGCGAGCGCCTCGCTGCATTGGATTTTCCGGAGAGAGAAAATTCATTCTCATGAACGGGAATAGATCAGAGATCTCTTGCAAGCGACCTTCGTGAGATTTCCCTCGTCGCCAGAATTCTTCGGCGTTTTATCAGCTCGCTCTGATTTCGATTAGTCGGAGCTGTTCGATTCAGTCGGACGAAGGGGATGAATGCTGAGCAATCCCAGGCCTGCCGGCGGTTCCATCAAATTGATCCCCCAACGGGAGAGAAGCGCTCAATCGACAACCATCAGGAACACCTGGCCAATCTTCGGGAAAATTATTGTTTTCACGGAGGATTCGAGGACATGATGGGAAGCCTCGCCGGTGTAGGACAGCTCCCGCTTCATCAGCGTTTCCCTCCGGAAAGTATGGAAGAAATTCTCGGACTGAAGTTCACTCGTGAAAACAATCGTCACTGGGTGATCACTCGAGTGATCGAGAGAAACGGTAGAGGGTAGCGAGTAGCGAGCTACCACCGTGTACATGCGTGAAAACGACACACTTTATTGTGTTTCGTGAGACTGGCGCTTGGTGATATGAAATTCCACGTTCATCGATTGAAAGGATGATTGGAATCATGTACAGAAGAAATGCGGAATGTAACTATGCGGAACATATTAAGGAGCTCTATCGAGGTGCCATTGCTCCTGACATTCCCCTCGTTGGTTCGCGATCGGTCGGCTGTCGTAATCCACAGTCGCGGCCATGATCATCGAACCAGGCTTGTGGACGTTCGATATCTTCATTCGAGAGCTCTCGGTCGACGACCGTGCTCATTGTGGAATCGAAAATTCCTTTCCCCGTAAACTCTCGGAATTGCGCCCAAGTATACGCGCGGTCACGGGGGAACTGAATTATTGCCCGGACAAGGGGTCTTCAGTCAATTGGAGTCTTCGCCCTCACCGAACTACATGAATAACTTACTTCTGTCTTCTGCCCAGCTGCGTGAGCCGAACATCCTTCCCTTAATCCGGAGAACGACCATTCATCGACTTGACAGAGTTTTCGAGATTCCACAAAGATCATCCAATGGATGATTTGGCCGGGATAATCACCCGTAAATTCACAAACTTTCGACCCCATACTCGTGATAAACCGATGCCCATCAACGGAAACCCAGCCTCGGGAATGCGGGAAAGATTCCGCTGCATGGAGCACGGAGTTTCTTCGACCGGCTATCCGAGATATTCTGGAGACGTTTTCACGTCAGAATACCTCGGATCCGATTCACAGAGCGACCGTGACCGTCCCCAGGACTAAAGCTTGATCCCCGCCTGGTAGTCTCACATCTTCAGTGTGGAGGAAACTTGAGGCTTCGACGGGAGCTCGAAATCTGCGGTTGGTCGATCAGGTCGAATACTCGGCATGATATTGAGAACTGTAAGAAATTATTCGTCTATCCATTGAATAGACTGATGCGCACACTCGGTACGAGCATGCCGGCCCCAAGAGTCGAGGGAACAGATTGGGGGAACAGATAAGGAAATCGATTGCCCGCACTTCATCTTACCTGGGAATTAGGCCGGAAATTCCGACCTCCTGGTTCTATGAAAGGCTTGCGGCTCGCTCGAATTCCTCCCGAAGGCACGAAATATTCATTTAGGCAGGTGAAGATCATAATCTGGATGAGTCTGTTCTGTGTGCAAGACTCAGCGGAACCTTGGCGGGCGGGTTTTCGTTCAATCAATTACCGCTAGAGCTCGATTCGTGCCTGGCGGAGTCCCAATGTGAGAATGAGCAATTGAATAGCGGGCGCGAAGGGCACTCGCTGATAACGGACTTTGCGGAGTTCGGATCTCAGAAGCGATCCCGATCGAATCCGATAGCAAGCTCCTGGGTGGTAGGGAAAAGAAAGAACCATTCCACTCCATCTCGAAAGTTTCCTCGCTCGTGGTAGAACACTCCGTTTCGAGTGTCCGCAGCGGAGAGAAGCGGGGCTTGTGTATGAACCCGAAATAGATCCAACGCACCGTGAATGAATGTTCCCGGACCCGGATGGAATGAAAACATGCCTCACCAGGTTCTCTGAGAGGAAATACTGTCCCCGTGCTCGAAACTTCGGAACGTCACGTAGCAGTGGCGCGGGATCGGCATTGGGAGCCCAAGGGAATATTGTTGGTTCAAGTTTTAAATTTTTTCAAGCGATTCTCGTGGGATTCTGTCATGCGATCGCTCCTCTCGCCGCAGGGTTCGTCTATTTGTGACCACTACGTTGCTAGTAGTCACAATCACATACGCGCCCGAGCTCCGGGCTCAACGACGAGGTACCCACAATTCCCCGCCCACCCGGCTCCGGTCCCCACCATTCCGGTCCCGTGCTGAATTGCACGGATTGTGGAGGAACGTTATTGTAGTGCAAACTAAAGATTCCATTCTTCTCTCGGCTTCCTTTATCGGACTAAACACGCACCGTATTCCGCAGGGGAAGGGAATCGACGGCAGGCCAAGCCCTTTCGGAAGCTTTCTCAACAGCTGATTCGGGAGTTTCTCGGAACTCCTCGAAAAGTTCACAGAGCAGCTTTTCGTCTGGTCGATCGATATCGCCTCCAGAACATTGGATTATGTGGCGGAAGGCACCAAAAAGCACGCAAGGGTGCAAATTCGCGGAATTTGTTCGCTCTATGAGCCCCGCCGTCGCGGCTTAGAGCCATACCGGACAGGCATGCCATCAGCACTCACGAAGACATCTCCGAAATTTGAGATCACGCTGCTTGCTTCTATGTGTCTAGTCTTGAGCAGGAGCGGCAACCACTGTCCACGAGGTCATAGTGGTCGAGATCCTCCCCTTTGCCTCCCTTGATCACACGATGCTCTCCTTCCGCGACTGACTCTCACCTAAATCTTCGAATTCTTATTCGCTTATGCCCGGGAAGTTTTTGCATGCGTCGTTCAAGGAAGCGCTCTGATGTCCGACAGAAGAGGTCAATAGTTTCACAGACAGGGGGAAAAAAGAGATCGGCTTCGAGCGCAACCGCCTCTCCCGGAGCAGAAGCGAGAAGTCGATGTTACCGACGATTCATGAGCAACCTGAGCTCGCACTGTCAATCGAGCTGGCGGACTACTCCACAAAGATCGCAGAGGATTTAGTTAGCACCATTCCGCACGATTGCACCGACGTCGATTTCGTCCCCGACGACAGTTCCAGGCCGGATTCAGGTTCCCAACGTACGCTCTCTCGTTGGCTGGTCCAGCATCTCATAAGTTCATCGACGGAGGCGGGAGCAAGACTCGACAAGTAAACTGAGAGCTCGTAGATATACCCACATCGACGTATCGACGGGGCATATGCCCGAATGAATATTGAGCTAAGAAGGTTTGTTTCTACTCACGAATCATTTATTACTCAATTTCACTCGAACTTTCTCGCTATAACTCAAACTGTTCTCATCGCAGGTAGGTTAAGAGGGACACAATATCCTCAAGAGAGAGCGGCAGCTTCACCATCGACTTAGGTCCCTTTCTGCTTTGATTGACGGCGTGCTCCACCAGCGAGCTGTCTGGACTTGACGAAAGAGGTTTGTGGATCCGGGGCAGCGCTGGTTTGCATTCGCACTGTGGATCGGAGAGCAAGATCAGTGATTTAGCCCTCCTGAGGACAGGGCCTCTCTCGATTTCCATGCGACCTAACTAGCCTCCTTATCGTAGGGCGGAAGGTCTTCCGAAGAGAAAGTCTCCGAACTGTGCAGAACGATAGTGAAAGGAACCGAGGGACAAGGAACGTGTGCGGGAACAAATCGGACAGATCAACGCGTTTCATACCGCGAGAGAGAAACCCGGACTTTTTGAGAATTCTTGCTCACCTTAGCTCCTCGTATGATGACCCATCGATCTTCTAAGACCCGCTCCATCGAACTTTGGTTCTCGAACTGGACAAAAGCGAATCCTCGCGAAGTTTGTGTGGCCTGGCAGTACATCACGGCAGCATCGAGCACCTGAAAAACGCAATTTCGAGGTCGATTCCAGCCAACTACGCTCCTGTCGGAGGTCCGTCACTCGTTAAAAGTGGCGGAAGATCGTTCCGTAGGCTTACTCACGCCACCGTAGTGTCGGTCGAAGAAGCATTTGATGTCGTAGTTATTCACGTAGTAGGGCAAGCCTCCCACGAAAACCTTGAGGTATTGGTTGGGCAGCTGTGGAGACAATATACCGACTTGAGAATTCGCCGTCCAATTTCATTATCGGAACAGGATCACCGAATCGTGGCTTTCGTGTCAAGCGTCGACAGACCGCGCCACGAGACCCAGGGGAACTCCCGGCGCAGGATCTGGAATTCTTCGGTCTGGGCACTCGGCTCCGGGTGAGTGACTCGGTGGGGGCATCCTCGAGGTCTCGAACGGGATTTCTATACCACCATGAAGAAAAGCTCTGCACTCTGTTACCTTTGGCTTTGGAGTGATCCGAGATTCTGTTCCTCCTTTCGAGGGTTTCGCATCCACCTGAAGAAACACGACCTGGAGTATGACTGTGAGAAGAACGAAGACCCTTGATTTACAGAGAACAATGATGATGATTCTTCTCTTACCACGCGATTGTCTATCGTATGAGGAGCTGACTTTAAAACTTTCACTACGGAGCCCACGTGAGCGAAGGTGACAAAGCCAAAGCCGCGACTCCGTTGCTGGTCGTCGTACAGGACACTGCATTCAACTATTTCGCCAAAGGGCATGAAGTAGTTTCGTAGGGTTTGCGACGTTGTTCTCCAAGAGAGGCCCCCGATGAAGAGTTTGTTCGGGTTCTCAGCGAACTGAAGAACAAGCTCGAGATATCGCTCGGTGCTCAGATTATTCCCACAACAGAAGCACGAGCTCCGTGGCGGAGGTAACATCGGCGTCATCGACATTTCGAGGTTTCCTGGGAAATATTCAGATCCGGAAATTTGCTCCCATTGCCCGAGATCGCACGATATTCCCTGCAGATACGTGCTGTATGTGATGTGCTGCATCCTCAGCTCTCGGGAACGATCTACGATCCCTCCCCAGACTGTCCCATGGACTCCCTGCACGGATTCCACACGGATTCGACCTTGAAACAGCTCCGAGAAGCCGATCCCATAGAAAGTTGTCCAAATGCGGAAAGATATCGCTCGAAGGCATTTCTTATAGAATGGCGAACTACAGGCTCTCGAGACGCAACAGAGTCCCAGTCTTGCTTCCCCTCATTAGGACTCAACTCCACTCGCCGTTATTGTATGGTCGAAGTTTCTGGCCCGCTAACAAGATTTCTGTCCTATTCGTCAAGTCACGCCAGTCAACTCACCTTCAGTCCGAAGTCATTAACCAGATTCCTTATGAAACGAAATTTCGCCTCTGGAAACAGCGCAGGGCCAGAGCGGTTCCGTTCAACTACGGTGTGTAGAGTCGGAGCAGTTATTTTTGAAAATCTGAACCTTGCGCATTTGAAAATAACCGTTGATAATAATTTGAATGTCGCGTGGCTGCTACTGCGCTCACGGAGCACCAACGGCTTTCAAGACTGTGTCGCTGTCGCCTCCTCGGGACTATTTCGACACAAATCGCGGATTTCCTTCAGTGTTGATGAGTACGACGTGGAATTCCAACAACTTGTTCCGACGTACTTGTGCGTTCTCTTCAATACGCTAGGCTCCTACGCGGAGGACATCCATAAACGGGTAGTAATCAAAGAGAGGATATGTGAATTCGAGCAGACTCGCAACGGGACAGACTCTCCCTTGTCACCGTGACGGATCCTTCGTCTTCTAAATAATGAGAACACTCCGCCGTCTCTCGAGACTCTCGGGCAACTCGAATGAGATATGAAAAAAACTGCACCCGTGCGGCATGATGAACGAGGAATAAAATCGGGAATTGTACGATGCGGGAGGAATGGAGATTCGAATCTTCGTCCTCGATTCGAGAGGTAATTCGCACTCAAGTGTCGTGTGCGGATGTTGAGAACATCGAGGAGGCAGAGCGGGAGCGCTGCTTCCGGGCATGATCGCAATACGATTATGGGTGGATAAGCTTCCCACGAGATATGATTCCGGAACCTGTTCGCGTCGAGCAAGGACGATACATCGCGGAAGTCCAGGACGAGTCTCCCTCTGGAGCTCGTGATTACGTTCAATATGATCAAAGGCTCCTGCAAAGATGTGAAATTGGCCGTTCGTCGTCCTCTGATCAATGGAGGACGTGCTCTTTCGGAAACAGGTATAGTTGTTCCTCCGAATCCGCTTGGAACGAGACGGTTGCGGCTTCTCAGAATGAGCGAAAAGAGATCATCCAGAAAGTTCAAAGAATATTCCAAAGAGCCGTCCGCCATCATGGATCCTCCCGTTCCCACAACGATCACTGGGCTCCAGATCCCCAATGCCAGCCAATGCATCTTTGGAGAAAACATCGCTCATTCGTCGAACGATGCCGTGATAGGAGATTGTTCCACTATTCAATACACACACTTCGTGAGAGGGAATGAACGAGGCTTCCGTCCCGGTGAAAAACGAGCAATGCTCGTCGAGAGACCCCACATCGTACCCCACATCGGTTCGGAGAATTTCTATCGATGCGTCGCCTCACGGGATATCAGCAGAAATCTTCCGTCGCATCGGTTCAACGACGAGTCTCAGGGAGCAACGGCATTCGAATGGAAAGCGTCGGCGCTCGCCGATGGAGGACTCATGACGGGCGCAGTAGAGGTCGAGGAAGATATAAAGAAAAATTCAACTCCTGGTTCATGAGACGGATCTCGGAGGTCTAGGTCAGCGAGCCTGTCGCTTTGATACTTCCCACACCGGGACCGCACCACCGGTGACCATATCATGGATGCAGAAATCCCAGTGATTCCTGGGAGCGTGCAAATACGACATCCTGTACCAGACTTCAGCAACGGCGCGAGGACACGCGGATGCGTTATCTCGAATACTCACGTCAGCGGTATATCCTCCGGAGTACTTATGGATGCCACAGTTCAGTTCCGCGCGAAAACCGCAGATTTTACAAGCTCACCTCGGAGATTATTCCAGTTGAGGAAGAATATAGTATAGTATCCTTCTTCGGTACAGCGATCGTTTGGAGATGTCCTCCCTGCCAGATTCTTATCTAAGCGAGCAAATTCAATGGAGCCTAAAGCTCCGGGAACCATCCCGAATAATTTTTGAATTGAAGGTATCCCGCCGCCATTGACGAGTTTCTACAGTAGAAGGCCGACGGCTAATGATTTGCGGTTCTCCACCGGACCGGAATGCATCCTAACGACTGCACCTAATGGAACTTGATATGCTGTTCTGGGTTCAGGCTGCGGGAGAACTTGGTCAATTCGTATCACAACAGAGAACATCAGAAGCCTGTATGCGTTTGGGAGAGCACAAAGACGATTCAGCTGGCGACGTTCTTCTGATGGGAGTCATGTTGGCGGCAGCCACGGCTCCATCAAGTTACGATCACTGAACGATAAGTAATAATCAGCTGCCCCCGACCCGACTTCGTCCGCTCGTCGGTATTGGGCACATCTGCGCTTTACTTTCCGCCTTTATGCTCGCCACATGTGCGTTTTCTTCTGAGGAAGGACACGGTTTACGAAGGACTAGGCCAACGATCGTGGCTAGTTATTATGAGAGATGGTTCCCTCCTTCCTGCAGGCTTCGCGTCGAGAAAGGTCCGATTATTCGCTGCGGGTATAATCCGCGAGTTCATTACGTTTGCGGCGCGCTCGTGGAGACACTATCCATCGCAGCGGAAGAGGCTATTCCTCTCCATTCAAGGTGGTCTCCACCGATCGGTACGCGGCGTCTCCGACTCTTATCTCATTCGTCTCCTAATTGAAATACTTCTCCCCGGCCTGGTGTTGACCGGCAGCTCCGAGCCGCTCTTCTGGCGCAGGCCGCGATCCTAACCTCACAGATCTCACCATTTGTTCGAACCGCCCGAAGATGACTCCGGGTTTGCGCACTCGCACGATAAAGGGAATAAAATCCGATTCGGTCCAGCCGTTATGCCAATCTTCGGATGACCGACGTCACTTGTCCCGAGCCATGAATGTAGAATTTCAGTTGATGGATCGAGCGCATCACATCACGATTGCATTGAGTCGATCCCGAGCCCCCTCATTCTGGTCTCACATTTGTTAGTAGTCAGCATCGCCATTCGAGGCAAACTGTTCCTGTCTCCCTTCCTGGCCAACAATCGCAAGAGGACTTCCCCATCTGGACGAGAGAATCATGCTCCAGGAAGTCGGACGCTTGTCGCAACCATTGCAAACTTCAGGAAAGTTCGAGACCTCGAGACCTACGAAAAGGCTCCCCAAAGCGGACTCGGATTCCCGGAGAATGATATCGAGGCATGCTCCCTCGTCCGTCAATGAACTCTCGCCCCCACAAGGGGTTGGGCGAACCTCTGACGGGGACTTTCCCTGCGAACTCGTATATTGATAGCGGGTGCAAGATGCCGCCGATTAGTCGAGGGGGAGAGATGTTTTCGACGGAGCTATCCTCCATTTTTCGAGGGGACTTTCCGACTCTCCCCTACGCTCATCTTCTGCTAGGCATAATGGATGGGGTGCAGCAGGTGGATGAAGCAGATTTCCTAGCTTAGGATTGCTCTCTTTCATTCTTTCTTTCTTTGCAGAGCCGTCTCTGAAGGCGTTCGGGAATTCGAGCGCTCGAAATCTCCCTTGCTTTGAACGCTCCCCAGACCTGTCGGCCCGAGAAAAACTTCCGGCTTCCTCTGGAAGCCTCTTCTCGGGCCTGTCTCCGGGCTCAAGGGGAACGCTTGTTAGCCCCATCATTGGATGCTTGTAGACTCCCGAAGAAATTTTTCAAGTTTTCTAGGAACCGCCATAAGCATGGGCGCATAGCATGCGACTCCCCTCGGATTTCACTGACTTATTCCTTTTTCGCAGCCAGGACTCTAATCCGCTTCATTGTTCAATCTCTTGTTTCTGTGCCCTCGAATCAATTCTTGTTGAACTAAATCGCATGCTATACCGCTTTTTGAAGACGTCGACCGCGTTTTCATGCTCATATCCAGACTGCGCCATGCTCGGGCGTCGAAGATGAGAGTGAAGTCCTAAACGAAGGGATGCCGATTCTAACCGTCTCTCCCACAGGGCCTTCGGTCGGACACGTTGAATCGAAAGGAACTCCATGACCCTAGACGATCAAGGTCTCATTCCATTTCTCCAAACTTCGATGATGAGGAAAATGATAATTCGCTCACGAAGGACGGAATTCTCTTGGAGCGAAGGCTTAGGAATGGTGTTGTTCTCAGAAGGCGGAGTAGGACACGATTCCCCCAACGATTATCGAGGGAGTTGGGCTTTCGTCGCTATATCTTGAGCTGAGTTTTCGCAGCTTTCCGGCCACCATGTATTCCCCATCGCGCATTGACCTCTGATGCGGGGGATATCCACTTTTCCTCCGCAGCCGAGAGGAGAGTCTGGCCCTAATCTTCGAGTTATGAGCTATCCTTTCAACTTCGAGTCCGGCTCAGGAACAGAGGAGGATTTTTCAAGAGTATGGTGGCTTCGACGACGGCGCGGCGTCGCTCCGGCATCGGTGCCGCCGCGGCTCGGTCCGATCAGTAAATTGAGCAGCTTCTCTGCTCGCTTTCGCAGTTGACTCGGTCACTCATCGATGCCAATGCATCTCTGAGGGGATTGTGCAGAGTCGGCTCGATTGATCTGAAGGAATGCCCCTGTCGCTCTGAACTAGTCAGACCGGGGTGTGATGCATTTCGATCGACGGAGATCGCCTCCAATCTTGTGCCCCATTGAAGCAGGACCCTGGGGTAGCGCTCCTTATACCTGAGCTCGCGCTATGCGGGATCGAAGGTCCGCGGCGTAAAGTCAAGTTTTCAGCCGGAGGCAGGAAAGTCGGACCTTCTGGCCGGTTTGAGATT